ACGGTTTGAATCTCTGATATTGCTGTGTATATTATTATGTAATGTTAATAAGTTAAGATTAATTGTTTTGATTTAGCTTTATGTGATTTTTTTGTACGTACAATGTTGCAAATCGCATTGTTGTTCGTTATTATAGAAAAATGTAAATAAAGTTGCAACAATCATGTATGACCTTTTGTGATAGAAATATAAAAAAATAATAACTATGCATATCCACGTATTTCTAAATTATATTACATTCTTATTATTTTTTGTTGTTGGAGAAACAATTTGCAATTTTACCTTTAAGGGAAATACCAGAAATATTATGGACGTGATTCATTCTATTAAAGTACTTCAAATTTACTGCATTTCTCATATTTGAAAACACATTGTTTTATGATAATACACGCAAATGGAACTTAAATCATATAAATATGTTTTTGATCTAGACTTATTCAAAGAACAGTTCGAACTGCGAACAAATCAAACAATGAAAATCTTACCGACTTACACTTTACCAATAGACTTTTCTCTTCGAAACTAATAAAGTTTAAGCAGTTCGGACTACGAACAAATCGAATATTGAAATTTTAACGAAATTTTTTTATGTCTACTTACACCTTACCGATTGACTTTACTTTTGGAAGCTAACGAAGTTTAAGCAATTCGAACTGCGAACAAATTGAAGAATAAAATTTTAGCGAAAGATTTCTATGTTCGGACAACGTACATATATTCGGATAACAAACATTTTACCAACTTATACCTTAAATTTTTAGCGAAAGATTTTTATGTACGGACAACGTTCAAATATTGGAATAACGAACATCTTACCGAGTTACACTTTACCAATAGACTTTTCTCTAGGAAACTAATGATGTTTAAGCAGTTCGGAATGCGAACAATTCCAATATTGAAATTTTAGCGAAAGATTTTTATGTCTACTTACACTTTACCGATTGACTTTACTCTTGGAAACTAACGAAGTTTTAAGCCGTTCGGACTGCGAATAAATCGAACAATGAAATTTTAGCGAAAGATTTATATGTTCGAACAACGTACATATATTCGGATAACAAACATCTTACCAATTTATACCTTATCGATTGACTTTACTCTTGTAAGCTAACGAAGTTTTAAGCAGTTTGGAATGCGAACAAATTGAACAATGAAATTTTAGCGAAAGATTCGGATAACGAACATCTTACTGACTTACACCTTACTGATTGACTTTACTCTTGGAAGCAGTTCGGGCTGCGTACAAATTGAACACTGAAAGTCTAGCGAAAGTTTTCTGTGTTCGGACAACGTACATATATTCGTATAACGAACATCTTACCAACTTATAACATACCGATTGACTATACTCTTGTAAGCTAACGAAGTTTTAAATAGTTCGGACTGCGAATACATCAAACAATGAAATTTTACCGAATGATTTCTATGTTAGGACAACATACATATATTTGGATAATGAACATTTTACCAACTTATACCTTATCGATTGACTTTACTCTTGGAAGCTAACCAAGTTCTAACTGCAAACAAATCGAACAATGAAATTCAATAAATAAAGGTAAATTTAGTATTACAAAATTATAACAGAAAAATACCTTGTTTTATTTTACATTGCAAGATTTAAAAATTTGTATCTAATAAATTGTTTTTTTTTTATTAAAAATCAGCATTGTACTTCAAAATATATAAATCTAGGAAATGATAGTATACAGAGCAAATAGTACATGTGAAGTTGTAGGAATGTTGTAACCTATGCTCAATAGATCAAATTTAAAAAAAACTGAAGTTGAATGTTTTTATATGTTATAGAGAAATGACGTGTTTAAGATTATTCTTATGTTGTTTTGTTTACTTATTGATGTCAAACTGATCAAAACTGACAGATTTTATTGTGTTGACCTCTCGGTCGAACAGTGGTGTTTTACAGTGTAACATGTGTTAAATGGAAATCTTATTTTCCTACACGAAGAATGCATGTCCTGTCCAAATGCATCCTCTTACAAATTATTTTAATTCAAACGTGGAAAGCGTCTTTTAAAAGTATCAAGAAGAGAGGATAAGATACAATGCAACTGAGGAATTCCCAGCGGCGCAGTTAAAATGTAAATAGTTTGAATCGAGTGAGTCGTTCGAGATTGAAGAAGTACAGTTATCCGAGGGTATAAAGGGCTCGGAACTGGCAAGGGAGTGATCGTTTAAGTGGACAATAGGTGACACGACGGGTCGAAGGAATCGTCCGCTTTTTTTCTTCTTGTTGTTCGCGCATAGAATCCAGCAAGGATTGAGTTGTCCTTCGGAATTAATGCACCGTTTCCTTTTGGCTCTTGTTTAATATTTAATGTTAAACGCGTTAAATTAAATGTTGGTTTTATTGCGACGGCGATGCGATTCGTTTTACAGTCCGGATTCGAGTTTGGATCAGGTCTTTGAGGTCGTGAGAGTGACTGACTTTTCGGCGATTGTCATTCGAATGATGAAGGTGCCGAAAACCTAGGTGTAGTACGAATGAATATTAAGTGCAAAATGCGCTAATGAGGTGCTACAAAAGAGCAGAGTTGGTCGGGTCTGTGCCGTGTCTGAATATGTATATGTGTGTGTGCCGGGTCGTTGGGTAAAAGAAGCCGAAAGACCCGGAGGCTGAGGCTGCTGAGGCCGAGGTTGAGGCAAAGAATACGATGATGAAGAAGAGCCGTATGGCCGAGGCGTATGGTGCGATGGACTCGATGTCCCGAGGAGAGGAAAGACATCTCGGGTTGCGACCCCATTAGAACTTTTATCGTTCCGAAACTATATATCCCACGGTCATATATACACTTATTTCATTTCGTCTTCGTCTTTACATCCAAGCCGCTTCTGCTATGCTGCTATTACAACTACTTCTACTTTATTACACCTTCCTACCAACCATGCTGACCAAAAAAATAATATAAAAAAGAAAGAAATATGAAAAAAACACAGAATCATCAGAAACAACGCCAACGAAAACCAATTACAGTTTGTTTTCTTTATTTTTCTTCCATTTTCCAACTCTGCTCGTTCAATTTTTTTTTTACATATAAAACTTTAATGTTATAATCCAATCCGTAACACTCTTTGTTTTCTGTAAAAATATTCATCTTAAATCTCAAATTACACTAGTAATTAATTGTTTAAATAATACTGCAGCTGGTTCCGCCAATATCCTAGACTGTTTGAAACCGGACTAATCCAATAATTTAATGTAATTTAATTACAAAAATGTTTACATTAAGTCATAAGAAAGTTTTCTAGGAAATTCAACTGGAATCATAATTAATTCACACCAGTAATTAATTAAATAATACAGCAATCGATTCCGCCAATATCCTGAATTGTTTGAAATTATACAAATCGAGGATTTTCAATTTCATTTATGTATAAACAAAATAATCTTGTGTACAATTTTATTCTATAATTTATTAATATTTTGATAAATTTTACTATAAAAATGTCCACCAAAAACATATTTTCTATTGTCATTATCTTTATATAATTGCACCTGTTAATTATATGTTTTTATTTGATTATGAATATATAAATACGCAATTTTTATTTTTTTTACATACGTTTAATTGTTTCATTAATTATTTCATAATAATTTCCAAATTTAACCAGATAATATTGAATTTAAAATTTAATTGAAATGTGTATTATAAGTTACTATATTGTTTGTATTAATAAATTGTATCTTTCATATCTTAATTAATTATAGAATAAAGATACTAAGAAATTAATTTAATTAACCGTATCTAATTTATATTAATTTAAAAAAGTTTTATTATCATTAAAGGTTATATCAGAATATATTGACTTGCTTATATAAGTTTGACCTAATCATATATAAAACTGTTATATAAATGTATTTATAATTGGCAATATTTATTTATTCTCGTATTTAGATTTTCCATTTTTTAATTTAAAGGATATTTAATTAATTATTCTTTTGTGGTCGGAAAGACCAGTATTAAATATTTTTAATATTTTCTAATTAATGTTTGTCTAATTTATGTATGTGATTATTTGCATAATTATTGCAATAAATATTTTTATTTTTGTAATAGCAAAAACTTTAACTTCAAGCATTTCTCAAATAAGTAAAAAAATAATAAGAGGAAACACATGAATCTTCTATAATAATTTGAATAAAATCTATTGGCTAAAAAAAAGATGTATAGGCTATTGTAAATCAACTATTAATTAGTAAATTCATTTATTCATATATTTTTTAATTTATTATAGCAATAATTAAATAAAAAATTGTACATTTAGTTTTTTAGTAGAAGTCAAATATTGATGTAAAAATTATATAATAAAAATAACATTTTCATGGTTTATTTCAATTTCAAATATTATATTCTTCATTGAATTAATAGTTTTTTTTTTTCGTTTGAAACTGAATGAAGCTAGTGGATTGTTTTTATAAAATAACTCGGTTAAGGTAAAAAAAAAAGTACTGTGTGTCATCTGGTAAAACAATGTGGATTGGTTTCGTGTTATTTTTCCTTGGATTTAAACAATTTAATAGCAGTAGAAAAAAGCAAATTAAAGTCAAGTAAAAATAAGAGTAGAGAAGACGAACTATTTTTCATTTAGAACATTCCCATAGAAGAAACAGAATGAAAAAAAAATAATAAAAACGCTCGTGCTTTGATGTTATTCTTTTGCTCCTTTTGTTGGTTTGGCGTTTAATGTGTGTGAAGTCTTTGTAGACTTCCCGTCGCCAAAGGTGGTCTTCCTAGGTGAGGAGGGAAACAAAAAAAAATCGTCGGCAGCGGCATGGGTTCCAAGTGGTACCACCCGGTCCCTCCCATCAAGCAGAACTATCCAATAGGAAGGCACGAAGAGTGCCTAACAAAGGATGCCGCGGTAGGTTCGAGGCGTGGTGAAAGAATTCAACCGAGCTGTGCACCAAGTTTTGGTCATAAATATGGTCAGTCTGGCTTGAGATCTGGGCAAGTGCACCCACGAAACGGCTCTTGTAGGAAAACGTACAAGCTTAAAAAAAAAACTCATCAAATTGCCAAGTGGATTGAGCGCGTCCTCAAAGTGACTTAAGTACTAAAACCATCAGTGTGCTAAGAGTGCAAGTGACTTAAATTCTAAATGGCAGTGTCAACGTTGAACATGTCACCTTACTTCACTGGATACCCTTTCCAAGGTAAATTAAGAAAACTAGATGCATATCTTGACGTAAAGCTGTCAAGGAATGAGCATGACGTGTACATACATAAGCTTCATGGATATATTGAGATAAATCCGCACGGAGTGAGGTCTTGAGTTCGGCTGGTGGGCGTGAGGACATTTAACAAAATGAAAAGTCGGCATCCTTTGATCTCCGGCCGTTAATGCCTGTTTTCATCGCTGATGTTGATCCTCGTCCACCCAAAATAATAATAAAAAAAATAAATCACAATTGACTAAATCGCATTCCTCTTCTTCTTCCTCCAGGTCAAGGAAGAGTGAACCAACTCGGCGGTGTCTTCATCAACGGTCGTCCTCTTCCGAACCACATCCGGTTGAAAATCGTCGAGATGGCTGGTTCCGGAGTCCGGCCCTGTGTTATCTCAAGACAACTGAGAGTATCCCACGGCTGCGTCTCCAAAATCCTGAACAGGTACCAGGAAACTGGAAGCATTCGACCAGGAGTGATCGGCGGCTCTAAACCGCGCGTCGCCACCGCTGAAGTGGAGAAGAGGATCGAGCAGTTGAAGCAACAGCAACCGGGCATCTTCTCCTGGGAGATTCGTGATAAATTGATAAAGGTAAAAATTCAGTGAAGTTTCCTCATTCAAGTGCTTGAAAATTAAACGAGATTGTTTATGTGTTGTTCAGGAAGGAATTTGCGATAAAACGTCGGCGCCATCGGTGAGCTCGATCAGCAGGTTGCTGCGCGGCGGCAGGAAGGAGGATTTGATGGATAGGAAGAACCACTCGATAGACGGGATCTTGGGTAAGCCGATTTTTCATTCCCATGCTCTTCGCGCGTAATTAATATGCGCATATATGCATAAGCCCCATCTGGGAATTGATTACATAGTATTAATTCAATCCAGAAGACATCTACAGCGATTTCAAAAGAATTATTTGGTTTTAAACGCTTTCCATTTAAGCGGAACTAATTCAAGCACTTCTTTCTTTTATTTTTGCTCTCCCGATGCCGTCTCCCACCTTCTTTATCTTCTCTTCTTTTTTTTTCTTGCTTTTTTTCTTCTTCTCCGTGGTTTTATAATTGATTAAAATCGGTTTTTCTGAAAGCGAATTCGATCCGAACGCTTTGTGTCGGACCGCACAAGAAGAAGGTGACCAAACACTTTTCATTCAACTGCAGTTTATATATATATATATACTTATATACGGGCAAACACAAAGAGCAACAATAAAAAGCGCGGACAGATATTAATATCCAACAACTTAGCTTCGATTAAACGCCTTCGACTTGGGTATTAAATATGGTTTATTTCGATGATTAAAGGTCCGGCCACGTCTTGCGACGAAAGCGACACCGAATCCGAACCTGGTATTCCCTTGAAGAGGAAGCAACGGAGATCAAGGACCACTTTCACCGGGGAGCAATTGGAGGCTTTGGAAAGGGCCTTCGGGAGAACGCAATATCCTGATGTGTACACTCGCGAGGAGTTGGCGCAGAAGACGAAGTTAACTGAAGCCAGAGTACAGGTTTGGTTCTCGAATAGGAGAGCCAGGTTGAGGAAGCAATTGAACTCTCAACAATTGAACGCCTTCAACACCATGTCTCTGCAATCCTTCCCCGCGGTGCAACAGCATTATCCAGAGGCCGGATTCAATCAGACCTCCTGGAGCCAACAAACCTATCCAGGAAGTCTGGGTACAAGCTTATCCACCGCTTCGCACCAAACCTTAACTCCAAGCACAGCAAGCTTAGGAGCATCTCCAACAAACACGACAACCCAGACGCAACCAACCCAGGCCTCTCTCTATGGAAGTTATAACGCTCCGACTTTAGACCAAAGCAATTTGAACCATCACCAGTTCGGTTACAACATGGCTCAGGTTTCCCCGACACAGCACAGCGTGTCCCCGCCGCAGCCGACCGCCTGGACGCATCAGAAACCTAAAGTTGCAGAAAACCTGAGCTCATGGCACGAGAATTATAGGTGAGTTACAAGTAATCTCTCGTTACTCTTTATTTTTTACTTCGCTGTGAGTTAGAGCAGTTCAGTAGCTTGCATTAAAGCTAAGTACAAGGCGGCTTTCGATTGCTGTGTAATTTGGCGAAGCACGATTTCTGAAACGCGCAGAAACATTTCGGTACAAATCATCAATGACAAGAACCCATGCACAAGAAAGATCCAACTCGGCGATCGGCCGCAACCGAGAGTAACTTGAACTTGAACTTCGGCTCCGGCTCTGATTATTCCGCTCCTCGGCGTCGTAATTGATGGCCTACCTGGAGATCCAAAGAAATAATAGAGTAGGTAGTCACAATTAATTTGGAAAATGAATGCCCACCTCTCGTTCTTGCCTTGTAAATGCCCCATACGGCTGTTATTTATTAATGCCAGGTAATTAAAGGCATTTTCAAAATGTGCCTTGGAATCGTGCCGCATTCATTAGTTCTATTTGTAAAAGTTAACTACTGTTAGGATGAAAACGCAAAACTCTCACGTAGCGAAAACGTTACTGCTTTGTCTGGATTTATTTTATTTCATTTTACTTATTTCTACCAACTATCAACACACACAATACAACTACAAACGGAAAGTATGGTTTTATACTTTCACTAAATCACTAATTATATTAATTAAGACTTAGACAACTAAATTTCAATAATTTCTTTCAACAACTTTTTTCAATTCCAACAAGATTTTTATCTTATTATAATTATTTCAATTTTTATTTATTGTGTTTTTTCTTTAATTTTCAGTCTCTTTGCTGGAGGACATTACGGAGCTCATTCACCCACAGAGGCCAAATCCGGATACCCGTACTTCGGAGCCATGGAGATGTGCACCAGTCGAGTCCATTAAAGACATCCAATGATAATTAAAAAATATCATCAACAACTTTGCTTTAACCAATTACAATTAGTTTCCGCACTAATTAATTGCCTGTACATAGTAATATTAGAACTTTATCGTAGTGTATCTGTCCATAATAACGATAGTACTTATTTATATAAAAACAAAAATTTTATTTCTAAAATAAAAAAAAACTTTATCTTGTATGTAACACGTTTCTCTAACTTTTACCGTCGTAACCCCCATAAAAGTCCTCCATTTTGCATCATCATTACGAGCATTTACAGGGTGCCATAAAAACCTCCGAACTACACGAACGCAAGTGGGATTTAGGAGAGTCAATAAATCAATCAATTTAACACGATTTATCGACGCCCAGTGTGTAAAGATAATTCCTTACACTTATATTGCTTTCACTGTTAAACCAAAACAGAATTGTTTGTACGAGTATTCTGCAAAAGCAACATTCTTGTTTAAATATGGTTGTGATGGAGATATGGTAGAAATTCCGTAATTAAATTTGAGCTTTCTTGAATTGCTCGGAGCTTGGTAATTTCCATATTTTAATGGCTTCATTAAGTCACAGTTTTTGACATTATTAACGCCACGAGTGTCAATTTGTTGGTGAGGAGTAACAAGGGAAATAATGGAATGAGAAAACGGGAGAAAACTTCATTTTTAATGTATATAAGAAAAAAAAAAAGGAGAAGATGTTCGGTGCAATTTACGCCAGATGACTGAAATTGCTTTTCGACAAATCGGCGAGTGAAAATAATTGTGTACACCACTTGAAATTACATCTGCTCGGATGTATTTTACATTCGAAATTAAATAATGTTCGTACGTATTTGCAATTTTCTTGGCAGAACAATATGCGTTTTAATGCAAAAATTATAGTCAAAAACATCTTGTTCCTTTACATTTCATTATATCCTATATAATTAGAATATAATTAACATCCAAAATAACACATATTACAATTTTAAAAATATTTTCCCAAAAAAAAATTGAATGAAACAAATATTTCAAGTTTTTGTACATTTTTATTCATTTTAAAAATTTAAATTAAAAATTTAAAACAAAATACATAAAGTTGAACAAATTACTTAAAGCACTCAAATTATTTTAGTGTTTATATAAAGGTAAGTACAATATACCATTTTTATTTTTCTAATAATTTTAATTTATAATTTGTCTGAAAACTTCGATGAAAATTTGTAGTTTTTTTTCCAAATTTTTGCACGTTTGATACTTGTTTGTATGTTAGAATGTTTAATAAAAATTGCAAATTCTTATATAACAATATAATTTAGATACTTTTGAAAATGATTCAATTTTATTGAAAATTAAGCAGATTTGTTGTCTTATTATAATAGGTGAGCCAAATTTTGGTATAAAATTTCTGTAACGAAAACAAACTGGGAGTCAACGATATTTTCGTATGTTGAAGCATCAGATCCGGTGCAAAAGTCGTTCGGAGGCCGACAAATTTTATTCCACGCTTTTCGTTCTGTTTGTGTGCCGTGTCGAATCATTCGGCGCAAATAATTGGTCAAGGAATTCAAACAGGTGTCTTTCTCCTGCGACATTCCCATAGAAATGATACATTTTGAACGGCTTAATGGTATATCATTACCACCATCCGGCATCGGGAAGTGGCAACGCGCGCCCAGGCATCCATCCATCCGACTAAGCTAAGCCTTTCACTAATCCTTTTCGGATCCAACATTGATGGTATTTGCAAAATAAACGATTACGGGAATTTTCAAACTTTCTTTCATTTCTGATGGTGCTTCTGGTACTTCTTCAGATTTTAGCTACCGGGGATTGTAGAACGGAAACCGCGGAGGGTACCTGAGGAAGAGACCCCCCAGTCGGCCCCCCCAGGTGACGGTAGGCGACTTTTTGTCGTTTTAAAAACACTTTGCAGGTCGCTACTGCATTGTGCCCTTTGTGCAGTCACCATTGTTGCCCGTTTTTGTCAAATACCTGTCGGTTCGATGTCGACATGCCCGTTGACAGCACAAGATCTATGCACGTTTCAATTTCACTCCTATCTCTCCTCCATGTTTGCTATCTTATCCTACTGCTACCATCGAAAAACCCTCTTTAAAACCCAAAAAAATAACAAGTTACGCGAAAGTTTGTTTTCCCTGTCACTCTAATCCTCTTAAGAATCCATTGCGTAATCTTATCCTTACCAGGACATCATATTGCATCAATTTTCATTTACATTTTTATATACTAATATTTATTTTAATTTATTTACAACAAATTGTAAAAATGAAACGAATTTATTGGAACAATAAAGAAGGATGAAATAACAATTTTAGTCATTTTTTTATAAATTTATTAACTTTCTTCTTTTGTAAATGTCTTAAGAAACAAATAATATGTTAATTGGAATAAAATTATGCATTTAACATCTGCAAACAAAATTCGTCTTCGCTTTGTTAATACTTAATTATTACTTATTTTCAAGATAATTAACACTTTAGAAAACACAATTATTCGTTCTAAGTGATCATGAAATATTATACATCATTTTTTAATTAATTGCACACTCTTAACAAGATTATTTACACTAATTAAACACGATTTAATGCATGTATTTATAAAGATAAAAAATATTTACTTAATTTAAGTACTAAATTCAAAATTCTTACAAATTCTAATGTATACATTTTTTTATTGAAAAGTAAACTTATTACAAAAATTCTGATAAAATTGTCTAGAAACATTACATTAATACTTATATTATATAATATAATACAATAATTTTATTAGTTTTTTTTAATATAAGGAAAAGCAGATGTTTTAATTAAAATTTAATATTAAAAATATTTTATTATATAACCAAAAAACTGTAGGTCTTGAACAACAGGAAATTCAATGAAATAATAACATAATTATGTTTGATTTCTTAAGAAATTTCACAAAATCTTATTTCTTTTTTGTTACATTAGTTGCTTAGAATGTAAATTTTAAAGTTGTAAACTTGAACAATGAATCCATTTAAAACGCAATATAATTAATTAACTAATTACGTTAATTAATTACATATTGTAAACTCCCTTTTAGAATTTGAAAATGAACAGGAACGCAACAAAACAGCGCTAAAAGCACAATTAGAAGAGAGCTTAATTACCATTTGATCCGTTGCTGGAATGCAATTCGGAGCACGGAGAAAATTGATTTAATTAAACAATTAGTCCTTCCCAATTATTCTCATTTTAATTAGCTTTAAGGAATTAGTAATTGTAACAATTAGTTTTCTGAATTTTAGTTTCAAATTAATGAATGTCTGTAAACCTCAGTGTTACAATATTATTATTTATGCAATTATTACTTGTGTTTTTAATGTCGGTCATAAAAAACGAATAATGACGCCTCTTCCACCTCCTTCTTCATCCTTCGTTTTTTTATGTTTCACTAAAAACAAGTCACATATTAATAACAATAATATAGTGGAATGAAAAGGTGATGATATTTGCGAGCGCAACCATAAAGTTCTGTATTTTCGTAATGAAACCGATAAACGGATACGGATACGTTATGTACGGGCTTGTCAATCGTAAATTTTCCATTCTCTCTTACACTTCAGTTTTTATGATTCCTTCACTGGTTGCCACCTTTTACGGTCTCCTGCCTAATAATTTCTCATAACTGTCTCATTATGCATTTCGAGAATTCCTTCATACATACAATTAGTTTATATACATTTTTTTTGTTGTTCATCTCCTCTCGCCTCTATTCTACTCTTTTTTGAGGAGACAGCACAAAAGATGGACCATAGCATTAATTGCTTTATTGCATCGTCAGCTTCTGTATGGTATCGAAATGGAGACCGTGGATAACGTAAGATTTTCGGGTTCGTACTGGAAACTGCTTTTGTCCACAACAAAAGGAAGTGAACTTAATTGTTTTATTGCACCTAAAGCGGCTACCGTATTTTAGGTAACCCAATTGGAACCGTGAAAGTCGTAAATGCTTCAAAAACTTACCCGGAATTTTCCGTGCGGACAATATTTACTAAAAACCCGCAAAAAAAAAATGTACCTAAAAATTAAGTACAACGATCAGTCCAAGGCTATATTGCATAACTCCACTACGATTCGATTACGTAATTAGGTGGTTTTGAGGATGAAGGGTTAGAGGAGACGGGGATTCCTTTTTTGCGACGATCCTCGACGCGGAACTTCACGATTTATGGGGAAAATAGCAATTGTTTCAATGGCCGTTCTTCAATAACTGTGATTAATACGGGGAAGGGAAAACAAAAGCAATGGAAAAAAAGTGTACGAGAGTTACAATAATAATGATAAAACCCACTGCACAGTTTTACTTCTTCGATAAATGCACATTGCCGTGTAATTTACCCAAGAAACTGCCTGATCCAAATTACAGACTTTGCCAACGCATAGATAATGATCCGAGGTAATTATTTAATTTCGTCCGAGATCTTTTTTTTTATGTTTTGTTGGTTTCTTTGCTTCTTCTTTCGTTTTCAGTTACTTCCTTTCTCGATTCATAAATTGCAATGCGTTCGCAGATAGATTTATAAATTGCAAATCATTAATCAAGATGACGTAATTTCTTAAGGATTCCTGATTTAATCAATTCATTTACATTTATATTGAGGTTATTTAGTGCATATCAAAAGTTAACATCAAATAGAATTAACTATATTTGTTAGGATAAAAATGTCTTAACTTTCCAATAACCAAAAGATTTTTTAAAATATTTGTATTGAAATCACCCATTCAAGTACAAATTAAGCAATACTTTGTTTAACCATAATAAACTCTCAAATGGGACATTCGACGTTAATTTTTTTAGATGACAATTGAAAAAAAACTTATATAAGAACAATTTCTAAAGTACTTACTTGTCAAGTAGTGAGTCAAGTATATTTACTTGTTAAAATGCAAATACCTTATTTATATAAACACTTGGAAATACGCATTACATTACTTACAATTTCACACGTTGCGCAAAGAAAAAGAATTAAAAAACGAGAATTCTTTTTTTGATGTTGTTTTCATAATTTATAATTAAAAATAAAACAAATAATAATACAGCAAAACCTCGCTTAGTGCGGA